TATCCAAACCAGTTAATAGCTGCAACTGCGAATTAACTGCTCAAAATGATTTTATGCAAATTCTAAAATCGCGTTGAAGTCCTGTGATGAGGTGGGTAATTGTTGGAAGGGTGTGCTACACGAATGCATGAACCAAATGATACAGAATAGGCATAGAGATGCCATACATACAGAATATAGGTGCTTCAGCAGGTGCGTAAGAGCAGGTGGTGCAGCGGTCTAGCACATCGCGTTCGGATGTGAAAGCGAGCAGTTCGACTCCCATACATTCACAGGCCTTTTTCAAAAAGGGTTTCGTTTTTGAGAAAAACTCTTTTCTGTATAAAAAAAAAAAAAAAAAAGATTTCGCTCTTGTATTTTTTCGTTCTTTTTCCTTTTTCTATACATTAAAGTCAAAATCCTTTTGTATTCGTTTTTTTCAGTGGGGCGGGAGTATCCAGAGGTTTTTCAAAGGTAAAAGAGCCAGCAGCAACCATGTGCTGCCAAGGATGACGTTTCTTTTGAGGCTGTTTGGAAGCAAGCTGATGGCGGGTTTGATTCCCTGACATATGTTTGTGTCCCTTTATCGCCAAAACAAGTGCGCAAGCCCATCCTACTGGTAGAGTCGAACTTTCGGCCTATTGCGCTATAGAAATGGGAATTACCCTTGCTTCTTAAATATATTTATTGTAAAATTAGACAGACGGGACATGTTGGCCACCTTGCTGACAGTCTGTGGACGACGCATATTAGCGATCGGTGCCCACGAAAAAGTAAACGACACTCGGGTGAATTCCAGAAAGTGACGCACTTACATTTAACAGGCGGGGGCACTAACTGAAAGTATGCAGTCCTGAAATGTAAGGGCTTGTTCAAGTTGAGCTCGGCGTGTGGGAACATCCCAGTAATATCGCATGCATGGGATACTCAAACTGACCCCTCGGCGATCTTGCTATTCTTAGCATTAATTGATAACTGACGGCTTTTTGATATATTGATATTTTTGAAACTGAAATCCTTCTAGTCCTAGTTAGTAGGGATCTTTATCGCGGTCTAAACTGTCGGTGTTTGGACGATGTGCTAATGATCAATACAATTTAGGAATTTTATTATGATTTGTAAATAATCAAAGAATACTTGTTCGACACGTGCCGTGCTTTGGGCAGATCTTAGTTCGCCGATCATCGATTTAATTTCCTTGATCTCCTGGTGAACCGGAGCAGCTGATGGGTCCTCGACTGAACAACTCGGTTGTTGGGCTGAGGCACCATAGTCGGAAGTTTTTTCAGCTTGATCATCGGACGAAATCGAACTACCCGGAGGCGGGAAACCATGATTCAACGTTAAATGCACTTGCAGTGAGGAACCTGTAATTTCAGGTATTCAAACAAAAACCTCAATTTTGCTCGAGGTCAACATAAAAACAGTGGCCCTGCTTTTTGTGAAAGTTAAATTCTTCATAATACGCTTTTGCAGCAATATTTTAGCTCACTTATGGACTTTAAGACAATACCGTTTTTCACGGATGTAGTGGGAACCAGCACACAACAGTTAAGTAGCGGGTCAAGAATTAGACTTCGCCAGTGGAACAGTCACTCCCTCTGCGATCTGTTCATTTGTTTCGATGGTAAGTTGGTATCGACGTATGCCAGCGAGTCGAACTTGCCATTAGCTTGCTTATAAGCCGTCCTCGGAATGGAGCCGTCGACAGCTTTCTCAGTCGGCTCCTCTTGGCACATGTTACCACTCAGGCTAACTCCGATGCCCTTGCTTATCAGAGAAAAAAGACTTTGGCTCAAATTATTGGGTGAAAAAAGCCTAATCCAAACCTTTCCGAAAATGTTTTCCACATTCTGGGCACTGAGTTCGGGCACTGCTGGCCACATGTGCGATCAGTGAGGAGAGATGTTCGTTGGTACTTATATTGTTCAGTGGTGATGAAGCGCTCTCGTCACACTCCAGTTCAGCACCCGTACCACTACCGGTACCTCCTGTAACACACAGTCTACCATCCATCAATGGTTCCACCGATTTTTCACCTAAAATAGACTGTTTTTCTATCCTCAATAATAAGTGCTCAAAACTCCTAGACAGCAAATTCTTTCCATATTTGTTTTATGAGAACTGGCGGCAATCAGGAAATCTAAAAAGCATACAATAAAAATTTTAAGAATAAATTTAAAGCTTTTTTTTCAAAAATACTGTGGTAATTGATATTTATGCGTCCAACGCATATTCCTCAAACAGGTGTGGTGTACTAACTGGAGGTATGCAGTCCAGGGCAGAAGGACAGTGTGTGAGAGCATCCCAGTAACATCAATAACATGGGACGTAGAGCGGTTGCCTAGATCGTTTTATTCTTAATATTTACACTTCTGGGTGTATTATGCTTATTATTTAATGCGTTACAAGTAAATTGGACAATGACGATTTTTTGAGCGTGAAAACGGGCGACACATAGACGATGCTGATCCTATCGAGACACTGGCCCAAACCAAGCACCAAATTTATCAACCACAAAAAAAACAACACATGGTAAAGATACAGACGAAGTTCAGGGCGGATGGGAGACAGACGACATTCCGCATCACGACTAAACGTTGAAACAAAACCAAACTTTACAACAAAATCACTTGCTTTTATACTCTCGCAACAGGAAGGAAAGATCACTGGAGGTCGAGAGAACTTGTTGCGGTTCGCTTCTGAATCGTTCTGCCTCTTTCCTGCGCGCCTTCATTTGCTCTCCGTACACATGCTTAGAAAATGCTCATTTGTTAGGTATTTGCGCTGCATCGCAATTTTTGTCGGGACTGATAAAGTAATATAACGAGCAGGATTTCTATCCAGGAATTCTTGTGACATATTATCATTTCTCAGTTGCTCCCCAACGATCATATGTTCAAATTCGGTTTGTATGTTGGTCCCTGTGAAGCCTGGCTGGTGGTTGCCTGGTACAAATT